GTGTGTGTGTGTGTGTGTGTGTGTGTGTGTGGTAGTATATAGACAGAGAGATAGAGATAGAGAGAGAGAGACAGAGAGAGACAGAGATAGAGAGAGAGACAGATATTTTTTTCACCTCCTCCGAGACAGACTGATATATGCAATACACACGCACACACACACACACATACACACACACACACACACACACACACACACACACACACACACACACACACACACACACACACATATATATATATATATATTACATATATCTGCATACACACACATATACACACACATACATACATACATACATACATACATACATACATACATACATACATACATACATACATACATACATACATACATACATACATACATACGTACGTACGTACACACACACACACACACACACACACACACACACACACACACACACACACACAAATACACTAAACGTTGCATCCCGCATCAGGAGACATAATAATATGCTAACACTACATTATTATGACCCAAACTGACGCTTGAACAACATTCTCAGTTTCCTGGGAAGTATACAGTGCAAGCCACTGATGTAGCGCTCAAACACTAACCAACTGAGAAGATCTTTCCCTGTCTAAAGCTGGGTACCCATTCCCACGTGGGTGAAGTGAGGAAAGTTTATGTAAAGTGCCTTTCCCAACGAAATAACGTCGGACCCCAGGCGGGATTCGAACCTTACAGTTCAGAGACAAGAGCCTGACCTCTAGGCCATAAAGTAGTAGTAGTAGTAGTAGTAGTAGTAGTAGTAGTAGTAGTAGTAGTAGTAGTAGTAGTAGTAGTAGTTGTTGTTGTTGTTGTTGTTGTTGTTGCCGTTTTTGTTGTTGTTGTTGTAACAGTAACAGCATTATTATTGTTATTAGTAGCAGTAGTAGCAGCAGCATCAGCAGCATCAGCAGCAGCAGCAGCAAGAGGAGGAGTAGTAGTAGTAGTAGTAGTAGTAGTAGTAGTAGTAGTAGTAGTAGTAGTAGTTCCATTGTTATTTAACTCTTTTATTACATATTGTTATAATATCTATACGTATTTTGTATTTACTTTCTTTCAAAAATATATGTCTGAATTAAGAGTTTCAGGAATTGTTTATTTCTTATGTTTATATTTGTTTATTCATATATAGGCCTATATTTTTTGGGGGGGGAGGGGGGATGCAGTAGGCCTATGCAGTATCGGCACTTCACTTCTCTGGCGTTAATAGGCCTACTCATGATTTAAGAAAGGCAGGCCAAAACTGAGAGATATATTATATACGATGAATAAAAAGAAATGTACTGCAACGCGGAAGATAACATTGAGACAATGAAGAAAAAGAAAAAAAGTACTGGCTGACAACGCCTACGCTCTATCTACTGGTTGACTGTGACCGACCTATCTTGTGATGATGATTTGATCTCAGTCTTTGCTTTATAGATCGTTGTGAAAAGTATGTTGGTTGCCAGGGTAACGAATTACATGTAGATCTACCATAATTTTCCGATTGAGAGATTTTTAATGATAATAGCACCGGATAATTATTGTCACCGAGAAAAATTGTACAGTGAACAGAGACTACATGTTACAACCAATAATGTTGGCAGTGGAGAATGTGTGTACCTTGTACCTATATAGTTTGTGTGTGTGTGTGTGTGTGTGTGTGTGTGTGTGTGTGTGTGTGTGTGTGTGTGTATGTGTGTGTGTCTGTGTGTGTCTGTGTGTGCATGTGTATGAAAGAAAGAGTGAGAAAGAAAGAGAGAGAGAGAGAGAGAGAGAGAGAGAGAGAGAGAGAGAGAGAGGAGAGAGTAACGGGAGGAAGAAATAGACGGGAGAGGTATGGGGAGGGGGGGATGGAGACAGTGGCAAACATGCATATTATCATAATTATGTGTCACTGTATGTACTTATATATATATATATATATATATCTATCTATCTATCTATCTATCTATCTATACATACATACATACATACATACATACATACATACATACATACATACATACTATATATGCTCACAGAACAGAGCCCGCAGTGTGGTGTCTCTTGAGGATACTCCCGAGGGGGGGTATATCGCTGTTTGTATACAC